ACCTTCCTTCCATCTCTGTTGTTAAATTTCTTTTCTGTATGTTAGGATCAAATGTTTGACTTTTTTTAGCTTCTTATTTTTAACGTTTGTTGTCATTTCTGTGCTTATTTTGGCCCATGTTGTTTTTATTTATATACAGCTTTTGGTCAGTTGTGTTAAAAGTGCTTTACAAATAAATCTGTGTGGTATGATAAGGTATGGAATGTTATAATGTGATACCACTCCAATGACCGTGCTATTGCTGTAAAATAGAGATAAAAGTTTATTTGAAAGATTTCCTAATAGTTTAGCTTTCATGTGGGCAACTGGTTTGACATAGACCCAAGAATACTCTTCATTAGATCTCCAGTAGCATCCTCCCCAAGTGTATTTTTAAAATTTCCACAGTTTTGTTGTCAATCTAAAGGATTTGAACATGTTTATACTGAAACAACTGAGATCTCCTGAGTCCATAATCATCAGCAATGTGTGTGCAATTGATTTGTTGTCTTTTTTCTCTCACTGGTTCAAAGCAGAGGAAAATTGTTCGGAAATTGCCTTTTAATGTGTCATTTCCAGACAGATGACAGAGAAATGACAGAGACAGACAGTAGTGGGATTGTTTCGTGTGGAAAAGGGCGAGCGTTAGTTTAGTGTTCCATCGACTGAAGAGCAGAAGCAATAGCCGATAAAAACACCCTAAATGTGGAGCACGAGAGTGCACTATGATGACAGATCATTTCATGCCTCCTCTATTGTTTCTCCTGAGTGCGAGGGTGTGTTTAAATGTGTGTGCTCATCCTGGTTTTGTTTGTCTTCTGCCACTCTCCCCTTTTAGAGCAGCTTACCAGCTCACTATGGCAACCAGTGAGGTTCCTCTCCCTGCAGCAGGGTTAGTGATTGTTGTGATAGCACACAGACACCTCCTTCTTATAAACCTTGTGTCACCACAAAGAGGAAGTTGAATGACTTATTTTAAATAGTGACTTCAGAGCGCTGAGTTCTTTTCTTTCTAGTAACATTTTCAGCTTGCAAATACTATAAATTCATGCTCAAGGTTATGGTCAGTTATTTGCTCAGCTTGAGAAAGATCAGGCTTGATTTACAGGGAGATGGAAGAGATGTGGGCACTGGAAAGAGCTCAGAGGCTTTTCGGTCAGCACTGTCCTCGGTTATCAAGAGGTGAGGACAGTAGACATGGATACATTACGAGGTTGTTCATTTTTGAGTCGTCATAAATTACAAACCCTTACCCAAATCCTTTATCCTGTTAACCCTCTCAGGCTCAAAATGAGTTTTGACAAACAGACGAACAACTAAGTCCTTCAGGGGAACTTCTGAGTTAAAAAATGCTCATGAAATACGTTTTTGGATTAACCAGGTAGGTAGGTTTTAACGTTGCAAATCTGCAACACCTGCCTCCAGACATCTGCTCATGTACCAAAGTTAGTCACAGAGCCTGCACGAGCTTTTGAGGAAGTTCGTAGACAGATGCAGACTTGGACGTGTAAAGCCTAGTTCATGCTTCTGCGTCAGATCCACAAGGCGGTTTCCTCTCGGACCTCTCAGTCTCCGGGGGAATGTTGCATGCAATTCCCCTCCAGGACAACCATTCTATTCAAATAAGTTTATTTGTATAACGTCAAATCACAACAAGAGTCGTCTCAAGACACTTCACCCAGTAAACATTTCAATACATGTCAGTTCATCAAACCAATCTGTAAAAAGTTTCCTATATAAGGAACCCAGCAGGTTGCATCAAGTCACTGACAAGTGTCAGAGTCTTTACATCAATCCTCATACTAATCAAGCATGCAGCGACAGTGGAGAGGAAAACTCCCTTTTAACAGGAAGAAACCTCCAGAGGATCCTGGCTCAGTATAAGCAGCCATCCGCCATGACTCACTGGGGACGGAGAAGACAGAGCACACACACACACACACACACACACACACACACACACACACACACACACACACACACACACACACACACACACACACACACACACGCACACGCACACGCACACGCACACGCACACACACACACCTAAAGACAACTTTAGAAAAACCAATCAAGGTGACAGCCATGTTTTTGGACTGTGGGAGGAAGCCAGAGTACCTGGAGATAACCCACACGTGCACAGGGAGAACATGCAAACTCCATGAAGAAAGATTAGGGATTTAATCCAAGGACCTTCTTGTCTTGCTGGAGGACAACAGCACTAACCACTGCGCCACTGTGCAGTCCAACTGTAACCAACAAGCTAAAATTAAAAAAAAGTACTGACAGTGTTGTAACACTCATACATCTTTAATCAGTAGACAAATTTAGTCCCGACACATTTTGGACTGAAACTGGGAGGCAGAAGCACTGATACCGATCAGTGCGGCCCAGTCTTCTACTGGGTACCTCAAATAAATAATAGTTTTTAAAAAGTACAGGATGGTGACTCTTCTCAGTGCTTATACATAAGTGAACAAGCTTTGCTGTGTTCCCCAACAGAGCACAGCCAGTGAGGCGACTCTGATGTCCCTCCTTGCTGCTCGCTGTAAAGCCGTCAGACGAGTCCAGGCTGTGGAATCTGAAAGGTCCGAGTCCGACGTCCTCTCCAAGCTGGTGGCATACACTTCTGACCAAGTAAGCAGGAAAAAAAACCCTTCCAGGGTTTTCTGTATAAATAGAAAGACACTGTTGCCTTTCATTTGGTTTTATGAATTTATTTTAACAAATGTTAATTTGATTACAAGTCTTAGAATCTGTTTTTTATTAATTTTGTTGTGGTTTTGTGGTTAATTGGATATTTAAAATGGATTTTCCTCCCAAGAAAAAAGAAAACTTGTAATTTACCAGCAGTTCCTGTGACGTCAACAACCTGCCAGTGTAAACGTTTCTAAACCACTGAGGAGGACTGGGTCAGTGAGCCAGCAGCATCCAGCTCTGATCGGGTTTAATACCAGGCTGACTCTGTGATCACATTACGGAGCTGCCTGCCTGAGGGCCACACAGACCTTTACAGGGAGTCCAGTTTTTCTTAACAGCCTGGTCAGGGGCAGTGTTCTTCTGTTCATTTGATCAGTACTAATCTGCTTCAGATGACATTCGAACAAAACCTTCAAAACTAACAAAAACAAAATAGGTTCTCTCACAAAATCCTGTTCCTAATTTGTTGTTTTAGACTCGATTTAAATGTTTAGCTTATTTGCTGCTTGTGTCTTTTTTGCTTTACTCAATTGTTTGATAGTTTTAGTCGATTAATAATAAAAAAAAAACAGTGATGCATGTCTTTCCTCCTAAGGCTCATTCGTCTGTTGAGCGTGCTGCTCTGATCGGAGCAGTGATGATGAGGAAGGTTCCCACAGATGAACATTTTGCTGTCAGGGAGGAAATGCTGAAGAAGATGGTGGAGGAGGACAAAGCAGCTGGACTCATCCCTTTTTATGTAATAAACACTCTGCCACACAGATAACTCACATAGATTGTTATTTAACAGTGACATTGTTTTTCCTGTTTATCTGCGTTTCTGTAGCTAAACATGACTTCCGGCCACATTTGCGCTTTAAGCAGGTGGCCACTTTGATGTCATTTACTCGTGATGCAGCTGCGTGTGCTCAAGGGTGCTTCTGAAGGATGACGCTGTTTCTTTTTAACCTAATGCACATCTATCTGGTTAGAGGCAATAATCCCCTGTAGCCACAGATCCCTATCAGTGACCAATAGTGAGTGAGGCATCCAGCAACTCTTGAGTCATCCCAGTCAAAAATGACACCTTCCTCTGTGTTTAGGAGATCTATATCCACAGCTGAGGCTGCAATGGAAGAATTCATTTAAATTGCATTTGTTGTTCAAAATCACTTATTGACGTGACAGACCGAAGCATGAAGAAAACACTTGAAGATGACGAGGTTGAGGATTGATTTTTGTGTGTTTCAGTTTTGTGCAACACTTGGCACCACTCCATCATGTGCGTTTGATCACATCACCAAGCTGGGGCCCCTGTGTGAGTCAACAGTTTGCTGCTTCACACAATCATATTCTCAAGAGGAAGTGGACTTTAAAGCTTATTCTCTAGATTTTATGAATCTATTGTATTTTTGGTGATTCGCTACTAGTTTTGTTTTTCTTTTACTGTGAATTTTTCAAAAATTAATTTTCATATGATGATTTTATTTAAAATGCATGTTTTTGGCATCTAATCCAGGTAATAAGGAAAATATGTGGATGCACATTGATGCAGCTTATGCTGGGAGTGCCTTTATTTGTCCTGAGTTTAGACCTCTCCTGAACGGCATTGAGGTGAGTAAATTCATTTGAGCCTGATTGAAATATTCTTGTGGGGGAACATGGTCAGATTAAAGTCTTTGCTACTTTTACAGTTTATTTAATGTGATCTCAAACATAAAAATGCAACTGTCAGTTCTGCTGCCCGTGATAGCCCTCATTGCCTCTGCATAAGTAAAAGCACATTACCTGTGTGCATGTTGAGAAGGACACAACGTTAAGACCTAGGAGGAAGAAGATAATGCAGGGCAGCAGGCTGAACAATCAGCTTTAGAGCATCAATCTGCCTTCTGAGGCTACCTGAGCAGCTGCTGCTCCCCGAGCTGTGCAGAGACTCAGAGATAAGGACAGAGTAATTTCCTGAGGCAGCTTTAGACCTTTTATATATCACTGTTTATTAGACACACTAGTTCAAACAGCTGTGGTGTGGAGACAAGAAAGACAGACTCGACTTTGAAAGGGACAACAATTGTTTCATCTTTTCTTTGAAGGAAAGCAGGAAAACTGTCCAGGATCTTGCTGTTTTTATTTTTATTTCATCCATCCATCCATCCATCCATCCATCCATTTTCATCCGCTTATCTGGAGTCGGGTCGCAGGGGCAGTAGCCTAAGGCGAGAGGCCCAGACTTCCCTCTCCCCAGCCATTTGGGCCAGCTCCTCCTGGGGAATCCCAAGGCGTTCCCTGGCCAGGTGAGAGACATAGTCCCTCCACCGTGTCCTGGGTCTTCCTTTAGGTCTCCTCCCAGTTGGACGTGCCCGGAAAACCTCACCAGGGAGGCGTCCAGGAGGCATCCTGGCCAGATGCCCGAGCCACCTCAACTGGCTCCTCTCGATGTGGAGGAGCAGCGGGTCTACTCCGAGCCCTCCCGAATGGCCGAGCTTCTCACCCTATCTCTAAGGGAGAGCCCAGCCACTCTTCAGAGAACACTAATTTCGGCCGCTTGTATCCGCGATCTCGTTCTTTCGGTCACTAACCAAAGCTCATGACCATAGGTGAGGGTAGGAACGTAGATCGACCAGTAAATCGAGAGCTTCGCCTTCTGACTCAGCTCTCTCTTCACCATGACAGACAGGTACAACGCCCGCATCACTGCAGATGCAGCACCAATCCGCCTATCGATCTCACACTCCAGTTTTCCCTCACTCATGAACAAGACCCCGAGATACTTAAACTCCTCCACTTGGAGCAGGACCTCATCACTGACCCGGAGAAGGTATTCTACCCTTTTCCGAATAAAGACCATGGTCTCAGGTTTAGAGGAGTTGATTCTCATCCCAGCTGCTTCACACCCGGCTGCAAACTGCTCCAGCGAAAGCTGAAGATCACGTTCTGATGAAGCCAACAGGACCACATCATCTGTAAAAAGCAGAGACCTGATCCTCAGGCCACCAAAACGGATGCCCTCAACACCTTGGCTGCTCCTAGAAATCCTGTCCATAAAGGTTATGAACAGAATCTGTAACAAAGGACAGCCTTGGTGGAGTCCAACTCTCACTGCGAACGAGCCCGACTTACTGCCGGCAATGCGGACCAAGCTCTGACACCGGTCATACAGGGACCTAACAGCCCGTATCAGAGGGCCTGGTACCCCATGCTCCCGGAATACCCCCCACAGGGCCGCCAGAGGGATGCGGTCAAACGCCATCTCCAAGTCCACAAGACACATGTAGACTGGATGGGCAAATTCCCACGTACCCTCCAGGATCCCCCCAAGGGTATAGAGCTGGTCCAGTGTTCCAAGGCCAGGACGAAAACCACATTGCTCCTCCTGAATTTGAGGTTCAACAATCCGACGGACCCTCCTCTCCAGAACCCCTGAATAGACCTTACCACACACCCTGCGGCCCTCCTTTTTAAATAAGCGGACCACCACCCCGGTCTGCCAGTCCAGTGGGACTGCCCCCGATGTCCATGCGATATTGCAGAGTCAGCCAACACAGCCCCACAACATCCAGAGCCTTAAGGAACTCCGGGCAGATCTCATCCACCCCTGGAGCCTTGCCACAGAGGAGCTTTTTTACCACCTCAGTGACCTCAGCACCAGAGATTTGAGAGGCCAACCCAAAGTCCCCAGACTCTGCTTCCTCACTGGAAGACGTGTCGGTGGGATTGAGGAGGTCTTCGAAGTATTCTGCCCACCGATCCACAACGTCCTGAGTAGAGGTCAGCAGCACATTGTCCCCACTATAGATAGTGTTGGTAGTGCACTGTTTTCCCCCCATGAGGTGCCGGATGGTGGACCAGAATCTCCTCGAAGCCGAATGGAAGTCTTGCTCCATGGTCTCACCGAACTCCTCCCAAGCCCGGGTTTTTGCATTGGCGACCACCCGAGCCGCGTTCCGCCTGGACTGCCCGTACCCGTCATGCCTCTGGAGTCCCACAGGCCAAAAAGACCTGATAGGACTCTTTCTTCAGCTTGACAACATCCCTAACCGCCGGTGTCCACCAGCGTGTTCGGGGGTTGCCACCACGACACGCACCGATGATCCTGGGACCACAGCTCCGGTCGGCCGCCTCAACAATGGAGGCACGGAACAGGGTCCATTCAGACTCAATGTCCCGCACCTCACCCGGAACATTTTGGAAGTTCTGTCGGAGGTGGGAATTGAAGCTCCTTCTGACAGGAGACTCTGCCAGACGTTCCCAGTAGACCCTCGCGATATGTTTGGGCCTGCCTGGTCTGACCGGCATCCTCCCCCACCATCTGAGCCAACTCACCACCAGGTAGTGGTCAGTTGACAGCTCCGCCCCTTTCTTCACCCGAGTGTCCAAGATATGTGGCCGCAGGTCAGATGAAACAACAACAAAGTCTATCATCGAGCTGCGGCTATTTTTCAAATTTAATGTATTTTTAAAACAATAAAGGTTGTTTTGTTTCTAGAAACCACATCTTTTTGTTGGATCCTGACATGACAAACGGTGAAATTAGTTTGATGATTACATGAAGAAGAAATCTACATGAGACAGCGTTTTAGGATCTGAGTGACGGGAATGGAGGGAACAGCCTAGTTTTAATCTGTCTGCATGGCAACTGTCTGCCAGCAATCTGTATTGCATTGTCCCTCTGCAGTAGCTTATTGCATCTGCAGGGGTAGACGAGAGGATATTACAAAAGATAAGCAACTGAAAAGGGAGATGGGAACAGATTGGGAATAGCGGTCTTTTTCCAGTGTGCTCATTAAACTGCTGATTTGATGTTTCTTATGTTTTTGAATTCATATTCTTATTTTAGTCTCACATCCACATGGAAATGGCAATTTAGGAACACCAAAATTGAATTTTTTTGGAACATTTGGTTTCAGATTGAAAAAATCTGGATTTTAAGCCAAAATACAGACTTTTGAAAAGTTATTTGATTGTGCCTAAACCTGGCGTGTGATCCTAAGTGTTTCAGGTGGGACAATGACAGATTACCTCAACACTGTCCTGAAATTCTGTGGACTTTTAGTTTAATGTGACACAAAGAGTAAGTTCCTGTCTGGTGGTGAATAGGTTCCATCTGCACAGGTAGAGGTGAATAAAGACATATTATGATGTCATTCGTGCTGACATTGGTGGGCAGAGTACTTCGAAGACCTCCTTAATCCCATCAGCATGTCTTCCAGTGAGGAAGCAAAGACGGAGGTCTTTGGGTTGGGCTCGCCAATCTCTGGGGCCGAGGTCACTGAGGTCAAACAACGCCTTGGTGGTAAGGCTCCAGGGGTGGAAGCTGGTCCAAGTGGCTGGGGAGAGGGAAGTCTGAACCTCCCTGCTTAGGCTACTGCCCAACAACCTGACCCCGGTTAAGCGGCTGAAACAGTGGATGATGTCTTTCATCTGTATGGTTAGAGTAATATTCTTTTTTCTTTCTATTTTTCTTTAAGTACGCAGATTCTTTCAACTTTAACCCCCACAAATGGCTTCTGATTAACTTTGACTGCTCCACAATGTGGTAAGTTTGATTTGCACATTTGTCAGTTATTATTCCAATAAAGAAACAAATGTAGTATTACCTCCACACTCATCATTGCATTCTCCCTGTACAAACCCTCCCATGTTTTAGTATTTTATTTTGTTAAAATGTTTTCAGCATTTTTGAAAATTAGAGTCTTTTGAGAATGTATGTATTGTTTTCTGGTTGTTTACTCTATATCTCATTTTTTTACTCTCCTTTTTTGCTCCTATAATGAACATAACTGATGCTGTGACACCAACATTTTCCCACTGAGAGACAATGAAGAGGTTTTCTATTCTAACTCATGCCAAACAGAGGAAGGTTCCCTTTTTCTTCACTCTTCTAATTTAAACAAAATCCTTCCAAATATAAATAAGTGAGGTCGCTGGTGTAACAACAACAGATTAAATATATCTGAGTGGCAGAAATAGCCTAACAAAAGGAGAGGTAATTTCAGAATCCCTTATTAATGTTGACATATTTCCTGGTTTTCCAACATGTCTTCAAATAACAATGAGTGCTGATATCCATCTGCACCTTTATAATTTGTGTGATAAAAATAGAATTTATCCTTCCACCTGCCTCTTCTGTCAACATCGACAAAGCATGGCTGTTCTGCAAAAGACGGAAACAGTTTCAGGCACTGGATCTAAGAATTAATTCGCACATCTACCTCAGTCTGCGTATGATTGCACGGCATGACCCATGTGACCCAGTCATTAATAAAATGTTGCAAAAATGTCATCAGTCAAATTCTGTATATTCCTTGTTTTCTTTTTTTTCTGTTTTCAAGTTATTGCCAGTATTTGCCCAGTTACTTTGCATTTTATTTAGATCAATCTTAAACAACATTGATTACATATTCTTACCTGTTAATCAACAGGGTGAAGAAGAGGACGGACATCATTGGAGCCTTTAAAATGGAACCGCTCTACCTGAAGCATGAAAACCAGGAGTCAGGTACTGAACTCACTTCTATTATAAATCTGGAATCACAAATATAAATGTGCAGTTCGTGATTCTGGTATCGAAGGACAGCACCGGATCTTGTTTTCTGACTATTGATGCATTGTGTAATGTCTGATGCATTATTAACTTATCAACCTCATCATATTGTCGGTTCAGTGATGATAAGAGAAACCAAGGATGGACCTGAGGCTGTCAGACATTTATGTTTTTGTCATTTCTGCCTAGCCCCCCCCCAAATCACATCCATGGATCAGAGGAAGATTGTTGTGCGTGACTTGCCTTCGCTTGTCATTTTGGCAACAGTTGCTGAGAGTGGACTTGTTTTGAAAAAAAAAAATGCAGTACCTACATTTTACCACATGATGTAATTCTTACCACCTGTCTGGTGGAACAAAGTAGCGCACTTGTGTTCTGTCAGTAGAGGTGCAGCTTACCCACAGGTATAGTTTTTACATCGATGTCCTCTTAAAAAACCCCCAAAGAAAACTAATGTTCTTTGTTGCTATCTAATTTTAGGGTAAAATTAGATGTCGAATGCACAGCCTCTTGGTGTAAGGCAGGCTCCCTCTCTGGCGGTTTTAAAATCTCGTTTAAAGACTCACTTCTGTGGATTGGCTTTTAGTTTGTGATTTGTTTTATTGCTTTAGTTTGAATGTTTTATCTGTGTTTTTATTGATTTATTTTGGTTTTATGGTTTTTACTTTTCTCTTTTTGCCTGTGAAGCACTTTGGTCAGCTCTCATGCTGGATTTTAAATGTGCTCTATGAGTAAAATGATGATGATAACCTTTTTAACGCCTAAAAAGGGGCTGTGCTAATGGCTGTTGCAGACATTTTCAACTTCAAGCATTCACAGAAGGAGCTAAATCACCTTTCTCCAAGTAAAATTTATTGATTCTTGATCAAGACTGAACTTCTTCAAAATGCTCTGTGATTTAACTGGAGTTTTAAATTATATAATCCAGTGTCTGTGTGCTGGCGAACATCCGCTCTGCCTGCAGATGGGCTCAGATTGTCACTGTAATTTGCTAGCGAGACAGACAAGACTCTGAAAAGGACTGAGAGCTACCTCCCACCACACTGGGGCAGCTCACTAAAGCCTTTGCTCATACAATCTGGACTCTTCAATCTAATTAGTGGTTATTAGCAGCAGCTAACACAGGCTTTCATTCTGTGGTGATGAGATACCTGGAAGCAAGGCTGAACGAGTAGTGTGATAGAGGAGGTGGGTGCAATGCCCGCAAACAACACCTGGACAGTGCAACACGGTCAAAGAACAACACACAAAAATTCTTCACTAAATACACTAATTAGTCTCTTGCACACAGAAAAATACTTTGAAGAAAGCAGAATTTATATATATATATATATATATAAATATATATATATATATATATATATATATATGCAGCAAACACACAAACTGACTCATGAATTTCATTTTCACAAAGTGCAATACATTCAATGCAGACTGACAGAAACACATGTATTTATGTATGTATATATATATATATATATATATATATATATATATATATATATATATATATATATATATACATCCATTCATCCATGTTCTGAACCTGCTTTGTCCACGTAGGGCCGCGGGGGTGGGGTGGGTGGGGGTGGGGGGCTGGTGCCTATCTCCAGCAGTCAACGGGCAATCAGGCGGGGTACACCCTAGACAGAGAGCCAGTCCATCGCAGGATATATATATATATATATATATATATATATATATATATATATATATATATATATATATATATATATATACACACATTTTTTTATGTTTTTTTTGTATTGTGAGTTAAAGTACAAAGCATATGCAGTAACAGGAAATGTGCTTTCTTTTCAACAGGTCTTGTCACAGACTACAGGGTGAGATAAACAATAATTTCAATGAATCATAATACAAACAGCTGTATAAAGTTTGTGGAATAATAGCGTAAAATGACCATTTTTATCCTATAGCACTGGCAGATTCCTCTGGGAAGAAGATTTCGCTCACTGAAGATGTGGTTTGTATTTCGTTTGTACGGACTGAAAGGGCTGCAAGCTCATATACGAAAGGTAGGCACCCAGAATAATGAGCCAACTTAGGTCTACGTCTGGGAGTAGTATTTAGATATTTACTAAATTTATTAGAACATTTACAGTTTTCACTGAGAATGCGATGCCTTTGGCCTTTCTTCTTTACTTCTGTAGCTATCCTTTTACTCTTTAACCCACGAAAAGAAAAAAAAAACACCTGGCAATCTCTTTTGCTTTTATGCAAAATGCCAGCTCCAAACTGACGTCCTGCTTCTCGATCCTCATCGGAAACATTTCCTGTCTGTCAGATACATGTCTGACTGACGTCTCCTTTTCTGTAACAACATTTTCTCCCATGCCTGCTCGTTTTTTACTCTGCTCATCTTTTTCTTTGAAATGCTTCATAGCTGAATGCTTGGTTCTGCTTCTTGTCTTCCTCTTCCTCCTGCCCCAGTTTACTGTTGTCAATCAAATCAGCCTGTTTCATGTTTACTCTCTACTTTAAATGAAGTGGAAGGAGCAGTTCTTCTCCCTGCAGCTGCTTCATCAGTCATTGGATCCTGACTTAAAGCTGCAATAGTGAATCTGCAAACAAGCTAGGTTTACAATGCAAACAGGGTCACAGAACCGCTTCGGGTGTCTTTCCTGGATCCACGTCCATCTGAGCTAGTTTGTTTTTCAAATTTGCTAAAGCAGCTATTAATTGTGCTTTGAATGATATTTTAACAATATACTGATCTGTGAACCCTTTGCACTGTGAACTAAATAACTTTAAACAAAACAACAGGCCATCATTATCCTGTAAATGAGCACATCCGTAGTGAATTGCCTTTTAAAAACGAGGAAACACAGAAGTGGTTGTTTTAGTCATTTAAGCAGTTTTTAAAAAGTGCAGTAGAGGCTGGCGTTTATAAGCATGATGCTCACTTTCATCCAGCGCCTCAGTGATCTCTTTGATCTGAAGTGGCCAAATGATACCGCAGGAAGATCACACAGGGCTGTGGAAAAATATTCAAATACAGAATTTTATCTTTTCTGAGCACAGAATTAGATAAAGGCTATTTTAAATGTTACCATGTCCTGTTGTTAAATCAGATTTTGATATATAACACATGCAGTTGTTCACTGATAAGTATATTTAGATCATTATAAGAGGTGTTTTTGATCTTGCAAACCTTTGGGAAAATTGTGAACATTGCTCAGTAAGCACAACACTGCCATCTAGTGAGAACTGTTCACATTACAGCCTTTAGGAACGTTTCTTTCATTCCTTCCAGCCAAAGGAACATTCAGTCAGCAGCAAAAAGGAGTTTCTCTTGCATTTTATAAGTCTGTCATACTATTGATGTTTGAGCATGACACTTTTATCTTTAGCATTTTAACTGAATCAGAATGTCTTCAATATGAAGTTGGGTGCAGCTCTCATTTTGTTGATGAAAAATCAAAAAGTAAAAACTAGAAATTTTACCTAAAACCATAACCTTTATGAAGAAGGATGCTATAAAACAAAGCTCAGCTGCATTAGAGGAGATTACCATCACCTACTGGGTAAAAACGGTTGTTTAGTTTGTTTTGGTTATTTTGTTCCCATATCTGTTGGCTGATTTGTCCAAGAAAAGGGACAGCCACTGATCTCCTGAGCAGACTTAGCTACCTGCTGAAGAGTTTTCCTCTGCGCTGTTGTGCAGCTGGAAAATCACACACAGAGGCAGCAGCACAGAATGCTCTCAATAGAGCAACAACAGAAAGACACCAACAATTTTTGTGTGATTGTTTTTTTCCAGAGGACTCTCAGGAAATAAAGTCTCTCCTGAGCCTTCATCTCCATCTCTAATGTATTCACACGCCAGTCAGGTCTTCTCTGATGTAAACTCCTAAAAAACAAGTCGTACCCAAATCTCAAAGCACAGCTGATGTAGAGTGGTATGATGCCAGATTGCTTTATCTTGTAATCCTCAACAATCCTTTTGGTCTTCGATGTGCCCTGCTGTAGGCTCTACACTTCATCCTAAAGGCAGACTCAAAGTTCCTCCGAGATTAATCTCATCACAAACTTAGTTTCCAAAATTAACCATGGAGTTACTGTGGGGACAAGTTCATGTAAGTACTGATGAAGAGGAGGGTGCCGAGCACACCGCCCTAAGGAGAGCTAGTGCTGAAAGATGAGGGAGGAAGATGCTGGAAGTCTTTAATGCATAAGCTGGTGGAATATGGGAGAGCAGTGGCAACCGCATGCACACCAATTTGGGCAAAGATGGTATCTACTGTCCTTAATGAGGAGGTGCTGCTCCAGATGGAACACGGTATTAGCAGTCGCAGCAGCAACCCTGTGGATCTGTTGGACATTTAAGACATTTGGTGCATGAGGGCGTAGGATATAACTGAACTGCAGCAAAACATCTTCACCGTGTCTAGGCGCTTAAATGTATTTAGGTACTGCCATACCACGGACCTAACCCTAACCCTAAGCATTTGAACAGGTATACCAAGTAATTTTACTGGTGAGCTTAAATGCATGATAAATTAATCAGCAGGTGCGGTACACCACTAAGCACATTTACAGATGTGTTCTGCTTACAGCAAGTGGCCCTGGCCAAAGAGTTCGAGAGCCTGGTTCAAGCAGACAACCGGTTTGAGATCTGTGCTGAGGTCATCTTAGGACTGGTCTGCTTCAGGCTCAAGGTCAGCATGTAGATGTTTTTTTAGATGTCATGGTACTTTTTTTTTTTTTTTGGAGTTCTTTCTAACAAACGCTTGTGACATCATTGTCTTCTATTGGACAGTTGCACAAACTTTAGTTACAATGAGATTTTCACGGCTTTGTCCTCTCAGGGCTCCAATGAGCTGAACCAGAACCTGCTGAAGAGGATCACAAAGAGCAGAGAAATCCACCTGGTGCCCTGCCAGCTGTCTGGCCGCTTTGTCCTTCGCTTTGCCATCTGTGCACGCACCACCGAGTCACGCCACATCCAACGAGCATGGCGTCACATCACACAACTTGCTTTTGAGCTTTTGCAGGAGCAGCCACATTGACCATTCGTTTTGTCCTCTCCCATGCTGAAACGCAAACCAAAGTTTAGAAAACAGCTTCACAAAGATTGCGGATAAAAAACGTCATTGTGTTTATTTTCCAAACTTCACTTAGCAGTCTACTTTAATTTGCCTAAATATTTGACAGTGTTGATTGATTCATGTGAAGGTGTTTTGTTAGAAAAATGCTGAATCGCTTATGCAAAAAAAAAAAAAATTCATCTGCAATTTCTCCAGCCGCCATCTAAGCTCCTGTTTGTCACTGATCTGTGAATTCATAATTGTCCTGCAGGCTTGACTGTGCTGATTCTGTGTCTGTTATTGTCGTCAGAAATAGTTCAGAGACGTACTAAACCTTGACGTTTGCTGGAACTGTTTAATTGTCTTATTCTGTCAGTCTGCATTGAATGTATTGCACTTTGTGAAAATGAAATTCATGAGTCCGTTTGTGTGTTTGCTGCATATTGTAAAACTAATGGCTGACTCACATGTGAGGGTAACAAATCTATTATTGCGTCAGTGAGTCAGGTTAAACACCTGTTTAAGTGCATACAGTCCTCTTGGTGTGGAGCTTGTAATGGCAGAGGCAATCAAAAATATTTTAAATTATGTTTTTACAAATTTGTGTCAATTTTGTTTAATCATTTTAAGTTAAAAGGTGAAAAAACTTTTATTACTTTTTATTTGCAAATAATGTCCTGTTTTACATAGTATATCTGTCCTTCAGATATTAAAGGTCAGAGTCGAATAAAAATAAAAAGATTTTGAGCCTAATTTGTGTTAAATCCTTTCTGATTTCTTCTATTTGGTGCCTAATTACCAAGTCATGTTTTTCACCAGAATTTTATTATGCTTCATAAAAGGGAATGAAACTGTCATAATTGTTTTAATAATAATAATAACAATCATCGAACTTATATAGCGCTTTATTAGGACACTCAAAGACCCTTGCGTGAACTCTCACATTCGCACACTGCCAGTGATGGTAAGCTACTATGTAGCCACAGCCGCCCTGGGGCGGTCTGACGGAGGTGAGGCTGCCATTTGGCGCCATCGGCCCCTCTGACCACCACCAACACAGGCAAGTTGGGTGAAGTGTCTTGCCCAAGGACACAACAGCAGAATACCTCTGGTGGGAGCTGGAATCAAACCCATGACCCTCCGATCATGAGGCAACCCGCTCTACCCCCTGAGCTGCCCCATTTAAGTGTGGAAACGGGAGGGAATGTGGGTTACACGGGTCGTTTTAATCTGTTAAGCACTTGTGTTGCTTGCTTTGCATGAAAAGTGTTGTATAAATAAAGTTTGATTTGATCATATTCATAATCATAATCATCGTCGTCATCATCATCATCATCATCATCGACATCATCTTCTTCTTTATCATCTCATCATCATCATCAACATCATCTTCATCTTCGTCTTTATCATCGTCATCAACATCATCATCATCATCATCATCATCATCATCATCATCATTATCTTCATCTTCATCATCATCTTTATCATCATCATCATCATCATCTTCATCTTCGTCTTTATCATCGTCATCAACATCATCATCATCATCATCATCATTATCTTCATCTTCATCATCATCTTTATCATCATCATCATCATCATCTTTATCATCATCATCAACATCATCGTCATCATCATCATTGACATCATCTTCATCATCATCTTCATCATCATCATCATCATCATCATCATTGACATCATCTTCATCTTTATCATCATCATCATCTTCTTCTTCTTCTTCTTCTTCGTCATAGACTAAAACTACCTAAGTGTGTGCCGTTCACAGTGCTATACAAAAGCACGTTATCCTGAACACGTGTGTGATAAAAAGTCTCGTTAAGAAAAGAACATCACTGTTAGACATCATGTCCTATCCCACGCATAAAGCTGCTGTGGGGCTGGAGAGCTCTTTCCAGTGACAGACTGCTGCATCATCGCCGCACAAAGGACCGTTATCGCAATGACTTGCACAGTTTCTGTTGTTATCCTTTTGCACTAATTCATACTCCATTTACACAGTTTCCCATTCATGTTCTCTGTCCCTGTAAACTGCCTTTGGCACAGATTTTTTAAAGTAGTAATTTTTAATATTTTACATAAATAGATTTATTCACTTTACATCCTTTTATCCTTGTTCTGAATCTACTGTGCTTCTGTTACTCCAAAGTTTCCCCACAGGAATAATAAAGGGATTTTGGATGTTATTCTACTCGATTCTAAAATGTCCAAGACAAAAGGTCCTCATGGTCAGTTAGTTGTCTGCTCAGATTAAACAGTTGCTGTGATGAGGAGACTTCAGGACATAATGCTACTACAAAGGTCTTCAGGCTCTTACAATCATACTTGCTCCTTTTTAGCCAGTATGAATAAAATTTGACTTTTACTAGACATAATGTTGAGCTGGACAAAATGAATACAATTCACTGGAGGCCTTAACCTGGGCAGACCAACTAAAAGAAAAATAGATTTGGAGTTGTTACACTATCACTCCTTTTGCAGTTGATTTGTTTTTCTAACCTGTTTAATTGTTGGGAATATAATTCTGCTTCTCTACAGTGCATGGAAATTATGAGTTTTGAAAACGGCATAACACAGCATTGTGACACAATTAAACTGCCCTAAACCTGTGTGTGTGTGTATGCGTGCGCGCACGTGGGTCTGTGTGTGTGTTTGATAAATCCTGCTCCCATGTCTACTCGTTTGAGCTGCAGTTTGATTTTTATCCAGCAGAGGGCGAACGAGAAACGTCATTTTTTACAAGCTAGAAGCCAAACACTTTTTTAAATTTCCCCATCAGAAGAGATATGATCAGATATACAACTGCTTTGGGCAGTTTGTCATTTAATAAAAAATATAAAGCATAGAAAAGCACCATAATGTTTTCGGTGTTATCTATAGTGTTTATTAGATGAAACAAGTGAAAATGTGAGTAAAGTGTTTTAAAACATGTGCTCTGATTAGTTTTCATAATCTTGCATAAATATCTTTAATTGAAATCACATATATGTTTGTACTTTGTTCTAACCAGTCAACATATTTCTTTGTTATATACTTTCACATCAATCCAGTTTGCTTACTCCTGCTGCTCCGATCAGCTCTCCTACATTTTATCACTCTTTTTAGGCCTGTTTTCTCCCTCTTTTGGCTAGCAGTTTCAATTCTGTTGTTTAGCAGTGCTGCTTTCTTGGCCGGAGCTGCTGCTGGTTTCTGTGAAAGGCTGAGAAAACCCACACATCTCCAGCAGGGAACACAATGAAGCTCTTAGGATTTTTGGATATTTTCCTCAGGTGTGCACAGAGAAGCAGATTACTGTCAGTTGGCTGAGAGGCGAAACACTGAAAATGCATGTTATTCCTTTACACTGAAGCAAAGATGCTCAAGTAAAGTTAAAGCTGTTTCGATAGATTTCATTGATGAAGGCATACGATCAAAAACTCACCTACAGTTTGGACAGAACACTGAAATCATGGTGGGGCTTGTTATAGAATGCATCTCATTTTCCAAGTCTCTGTAATGGAGTCTAACCAGCATGCGCTGTCAGCCCCATTACTTGCTTCACACCAAGCAGCCTCCTGCTGTCTGCTGTTTGAGGTCATTCACTGAAAGCTTGTCGAAGACACTTTTTTTATCACTTGGGAGGCATCAGATGGAGAAAACATTACAATCTAGCAGCCATCAACACATAACTAAATCACAAGTCACAAGTATACTTGAGGACCTCAGAGATCACATTGCATTTCCAACATTTAATGGCTCATGTTGAACTGCACGCTGAATGCAGTTAACACTAATACTCATAATTCTGTTAGGGGGAGAGTTTCCTCTCTGATAATTCAATAGCATAGTGAAAAGTGTTTGACAGTTTTAAAACCGCAAGATGAATTGGATTTTATTACATCTTGCCTGGAGAGATTTTTCTGTAATGTCAGTGGTGGGTGGGGGTATTCTTCTGAACTGTGTGTGTGTGTGTGTGTGTGTGTGTGGGGGGGGGGGGGGGGGGGGGGGGGGGCTTGTTGTTGGGGCTGGGTTTAAAGTGCACCAGCCCACACATTAACACGAGCATTAGAGGCTTGAGAGATCCCTTTCTGCCAGTTTGACTTAACAGAATGCTGCCATTATGTACAATATGTACTATACGTGCATGTACAGTATGTACCTTATGCATCTGATCAGCCTGCAACTTGTCCTCCATGACCTGAGTTAGAATTTTTAGTCAGACTTTTGAAAATGCACAAACAGCATTAGTAAGCTAATTTCTGGCAGGAACTTTTGAATAATTCTGTCAAAAATAACAATCACAAAACACTAAAAATTAGAATATCCTGCAAAGTTCTTTTATTTCAGTAATTCAACTTAAAAAGCAAAACTAATATATGAGATAGAGTCATTACATGCAAAGCCAGAAATTTCAAGCCTTCGTTGTGATGATTATGGCTTACAGCTTATGAAAACCCCAAATTAACCCTTTCATGCGTAATAGTCATTTACAGAGAACAGCTATTCAAAACAGTTTTTTTGCCATTAAGCACAGCTGTTGAAGAATTTGTTGCATTTGAGCCCTCCCATTGGACTAGTGAGTCACGCCAACATATTTCATGTTCAGAATGTATGCTGTCCACTTAGGTGGACATGTAATAACTTATTTGTAATGAAAAAACTAGTTTAACAAATCCTGGCTGAAGATTTCTTAATTCATGAATGAAAGTGTTAACAATAAAACAAGGATTTTAAAATGAAGAAATGTCTGACCTATGAATAATGCAAATGCTCTCACTATATCTTATAACTATAATCTATTTCTTTGAGCTTCACCTGTATTTCAATGTACATTTTATTTTAGGATTTTTATTTGAACCATAACAAAACTTCTGAAGACTGGAACTTTTTGTAATTCTTAGATCCTTAGGAAGCAGTCAGCTGTAGAACCATGGGTCAGAAACCAAATAGTTGCTTTTAGCTAATGTGCTGCACACAGTTGAATCAGCTTCCTCATTACCTCAAATGTTTATGTTTATGTTTATTTATTTGGCAGGCGCTTTTATCCAAAGCGACTTACAATTTATAACCTATTGGGCATGTTGTGATCTGTGGGGGGAACAGGAGTACCTGGAGGAAACCCACGCATGCATGGGGAGAACACGCAACTCCACGCAGAAAGGCCACAGCCGAGTTTCGAACCTGCAACCTTCGTGCTGCGAGACAACACTGCTAAAAACTGTGCCACCATGCAGACAAACATACCCCAACTCTAGAAACTTTTAAATCAAAATTGAAAACTTTCATGCATTTATCAACCTTTGAATGGTTGTTTCTTATGATGCACCGTCTGCACCGCGCAACCTTTAACTTTACCGTTTACCCGATTCTTGATCTTGTTAGTTGTAATTCGATCTAACATTATTTGTGTGTTTAGTTGTCATGTTGATTTTGCTGTTCTTGCTCCTGGAAAGCACATTGAATTATCTCTGTGTATGAAATGTGCTATACAAATAAAGCTGCCTTGCCTTAAATTTGCTGGCATGCAACTACTTGTCTGATCAAAACATAACTGTTTCAAACATAAAAAGGAATGGTGGTGTAAAGAAGCTGCATCTTCTGCAGATCAGACCATTTATTCCACCACCTGCGCTAGCAGTTATGAATTGCACAGATCAAATTTAAACATTACAAAAAACTTTTTTGAAAAAAAAAAAAAAAGAAAGAAAATATCTTGGGGGGGAAGGAGCCTGAGTTGGTGTGTGAGGGTGAGA